CTAAGCTTTAATTTCCGCGGTGGGCTTGAGATTACGGTCTGTCTCTCGCTTCTAAATCCGCACTAGGCCTAAATTCACTGATATATTCACACTATTCGAGATATTAATTGAACACACACCAGACACAGTGAACGTAACCTTCCACGGGCACTGCTCGTTGAGAACTGACGGCTGTTCTTGGAGCGAGCCGCACTCCCTCGCGGCCGGCTCTTCCCGCGCCTCCCGCCTCCCCGAACACCAACTCCCATTTTCCCCAATTTGGACTGGATAACTTCTCCAGGACCAATGAAAATGATCTCGTAAGATCTCCATCGCATCAGCGACAGTCAGTATGAAGAAAACGATCGTTAGTCTTGAAAGACGTAGTTTGGCTATTGCTGTTGAAACTATGACCTCAAACAACACGAAGAGACGTAAACGCCCATCGTTTCAGGGAAAGAAATATAAACTGTTTAATGGCTGATGACGTCACATGAAGTCTGAAAGGGCAGGGGAGAACTCGCCCTACAGCCCAACCGGCGAACAGTGAACATGTGGTTTCAGCCGGCCTCTTCGGCGATTTTCAACGAGCGTGCATGAGTGTGTACAGCGGGCGTGCGTGTATCCTTCGCTTTTCCCCCGGTCTCTAGCCACCGCCTCTTTGCGGATTATACATTAATCGCCATAGGCTCTCTGGTCGAAAAAGCGCTCTCGCACACAGTAATTACCACAAAGCAACGAATGTTCAGCCTAAAAGTGGAAGGAAGTCGGCGGTGTGGTGGCGGGCGCGGCCGGCCATCCACCTGAAGCGTCGTGGCCCGAGGCGCATCCGTCGACCGCCCGCCCGCCTCAGCCTTTGTTACTCGCCAGTTACTAATCAATCCGAACGGGGAGACCGGCCGTGGATTAGCGGATCTTCTCAAATAAACCGGGTAGATCAGCTGATAGCGCGGGCACGTGGCATGGTCACAAAACGGCTTGTTTCACATGAGGGGGCGGGAGGTGAAGGGGGGGGGGTTGTGGGATCAAAGGATGTTGAAATGAAAATGTTGATTTGCATATCGATACTATCACGGTTTTCAGGGTGGATCAAGTGATTACGGGGGAGTGTGATGTGTATTGAGACGCTTATCGTTAACGGAGGGAAACTGAAAAAAAACAACAATGAAAAGAATATAAAATTGGACCCTCTCTCCGATGACCAGCGAAGGGGAATAAAGAGTGCAATAGTGGTATAAGACCTAGTACTGCAAAATACGCACCAAAAATATTTATTGCATATAAATTCAAATACACAATTCAAAAAGTATAACATAATTATAAATAAAATTTAATCGGGAAAGTTCAACTTCCACTCGATTTATAAACTCATATTATCCCTCATGATTAGATGGAGTTGCCAATGCACGGATTTGTGACCGGGTACCCATAAACTCTCATTCAACTAACATGAAGTTATCAGGTAATCGTGTTTTTTACCCGTTTGACTAATGCCTCCACCTCCACCTCCACCTCCACCACCAACACCCCCCACTACTATCACTACTACTACGATTACTATTTTTATTACTACTACTGCAACTGATACTATTATTACTATTACGACTGCTAGTACTACTACTATTTTTTTACTACAAATTCTACCATCACTCCACCATCTCCTAATACTACTATTATTTCTAATACTACTACGATTACTACTATTACTACTACTCCCGCTACTATTGTTACAATTACTATTACTACTACTAGTATACTATTCCTTTTATACTACTTCCACTACCACTAAAACCACCACCACTACCATCACCATCACTACTTACCACCGCTACCACCACCAGCACTACCACCACCAACACTACCACCATCACCACCACCATTACCTCCACCACCACCACTACCATTACCACCTCCACCACCATTACCACCTCCACCACCATTACCACCTCCACCACCATTACCACCTCCACCACCACTACCATTACCACCTCCACCACCACTACCATTACCACCTCCACCACCACTACCATTACCACCACCACCATTACCATTACCACAACCACCACCACCACCATTACTTCCACCACCACCATCACCTCCATTACCACCACCACCACCACTGTCACCACCACTACCATTACTACCAGCACCACCACTTTTTACCCAATACTCCTACTTGTGTTAACGATTTGAAAACGCTATACAAATTATTATAGGCAGTATAAATTGTATAATCTGTTTTTATGGGACCTGTTAACAGCACAAATGTTAAGTATCACCTATTCTACTTTCGTCACAACACACTTTTCGTTTGCATCTAACCTTTTATGAAAAGACATTGAAGAAGACTTGTTATAAGCCATTGGTTGCTTTACGGGAGAATATTACCGATGTTCTTTTCTAATATATGTTATCTTAAACCATAATTTGCCCATGACTCGCAGCTTGTTTGCGAGGACAAAAACAGCAATAACTTGTTTTCATAAAAATCACCGAAAACTCGTTTGTTAGCGAAGACGTGAAGTGTGAAACAAGCGCCTCTGATTCTCCTATAAAAGAATTACCTGATGCCCATTTTCGCAAGGGTTTCGGTAAAAAGAAAAAGAAGACAAACGGGAAAAAATCTATTCATAGCTCACAGGGAAATCGGCCTTTGCTCGTTGAACCGAACCATAACTCTTCCGCAGAAGCTTCGCTCAAAAAATATCATACGCGAGGGAATTGCTTCTATTTATAACTTGTTCGTGCGAGAAACATCTTTAATCCGATTATGATGGAACTGCATTCATCCCCAGCTTTCCCATTTCTCCCCTTTCGGTTATAAATTGCTTTATAATGAATTATCACTGCTCTAAGGAGTTATGGACTGAAGGCGAGATGATTTTTTTTTTTTTTTTACCGTTGAACGACAGGAAAATAAAAACTCTAGTAGTGCAGTAAAAATGTATAGTAGAGTATTTCATTGATAAATATAGGAAAGAGAAATTCTAAGAATGAACAGAAAAAAGCGTGTATCACATGGACATTACCGGCAACCAAATTTCAAAACTGAGGGTGGATTAATCGGAACTTCTGAAACGTCAGGATATTACATGAAATATTTTGATGGCTATTGTGCTAGTTTCATGCCCAAATGGTAATTGAACTGGCGAGAGATACTGATGAAATTTATGGCTTTAGTGTTAACCAAAACGGTAAAGGCACCATGAGCGTATATGAAAACGTATTGCTAATGTTTAAAATATTAGAAATATGAATACGTAAACCACAAAATATGTCAATCTTTATGTTCTGAAGACATTAGACAACAAAATATCCCGAGTCTCCAGAGAGAAAAAAAAGAAGGAAAAGGGACCATCTAACATCACATTACTCGCCATGAGCGGCAGGGATTCACTGCGTGCATTGCCATTTCAGTGTTAAAGGTGACGACGCACGCCCGCGCCCACAATACGCGTTGACTGTGCTGGAGCATTATGAGGTTCTCTTGTGGAGTTCAGTTCCTGTTGGAATTACTTCCTTTGTTGTTGGTCGTCCTCTTGTTCTTGATTATAATGGTGATTAGTCCATATTAGTCATGATCTCGGGAATGACCACGAGGAGAGGAATAGCGGTTGTGTCTTTTTTATATAATATGGTATTGGTGGATCTTCAAGGAGGGATGTTAAATCGTTGAAAACTATTGCTCTCGACAACAATTACAACATGAAAACGGTAAAAGTGAAGTATGATGGTATGTACCTAGGAAGGGTGATCGGTACGTTTTGGGTACAGAACCTTATTAACAAAGAACACGCGTATATAGGTTCCCTTCATAAAAGCAGAAATACAAACATAAATATGTATTGCTACATTTTGATGCAAGGGAACTCAAGCTGTGGTTAGAATTTCTGTTCTCGCTTTGTCATGAATTCTTCAATATTTTTTTATAATTATATTTTACCATTTCGTCACTTTTATCACACCAAATTTTTAAATAAAACTGCATATTGAAAAAAATGCATGTGTAATAAAAGGTTGGGTGATTTACGGACATATTAATTGCGTAGTACGGCAATTTCATTTGAAAAATATACACATACTGTATAAATGAGTGTGGCTATATATGCTTTGTAATACGAAGCGAATTAAAATAATATATATGCTTTTATGGATATATTATCGAATCAGAGTATGACATAATGTTACTATCAATATCAGCTTCATCTTCCAATTAACGTCTGTGTACATTTATTTTTTACCATTCATACACAGATATTCCAAAAAAAAGAGAAAATAAAGAAAGGAAGAAAGAGGAAGAGAAAAACCTGAGAATAAGAACATTAAACAAAGAGCAGGCCGGGACACAGACAAAGGATCGCCGACCGGTGCTGACGATGTAGCGTACAGGAAAGAAGGGTTATAGAAGTAAAATAACTTGCACACGTACTATGGAATGACATAGTTCTGTTTACCCATAGAATAACGAAGTAAATGTGACTATATTTATTCCCTTGATGAAAGAAAGTTACCTATGCCTTACTTACCTCCCCTCAGTAAAAGCAGCACGTAAAAATGGCCTCTTCCTCGCATTGACTTTTTCCTCACAAATTATTCAATAGCGTTTTAGTCTTACTTTCATCAGTTGTGTCACCACTCGAATGTTATATATCATAACTGTCTTTCTCTCTTAATCGATACATACATCTCTACATGTATGCATATATATATATATATATATATATATATATATATATATATATATATATATATATATATATATATATATATGTATATAATATATATATATATATATATATATATATATATATATATATAAGAAATATAAAAGGAGAGAGAGAGAGAGAAAGAAAGAGAGAGTGAAATTTTAAGCACTCGTATGTGTATGAATACATGTATAGATTTCTCTCTCTCTCTCTCTCTCTCTCTCTCTCTCTCTCTCTCTCTCACACACACACACACACACACACACACACACACACACACACACACATACACACAGGTATGAGAGAGAGAGAGAGAGAGAGAGAGAGAGAGAGAGAGAGAGAGAGTGCATTATGAAAATCAAATGGAATATTATTGACCATGGCGAATAAGGCCACACGAGTTAATACGACGTCAGTGTTGTTATTATAAGGGGAAAAAACTCCGGGTTTAAAGTACAACTTGAACCTCGCAGGTAATGATGGCAGCTGCTAGCG